TAAACAAAAACCCCCCCCCAAAAAAAAAAAAAAAAAGCAGTGCAAATAGGACAGGGACGAAGGTCAGTGCATTAGGGATTATGGAGGCTGCAACTAAATGACTGACTTGTATTTCTAAGTCTCCAGCTGCTGGGTGTTCCATGACCTGAGGACATGACTCGACTCTAGAACTCTTCATTCTTTCTGTCCTTTTCAGGTCTGAATTTGAGTACATTTTACAATATGTACAATTTATGCTTTTCCATTTGTCAACTCCTACTTCTACTCTTTCAAGGCCAAACTCAATCCTTCTCTCCCCTATATGGCCTTTTCTGACCACTACAACCTGTAGCGATTCTCCTCATGCAGGAACAGATCCTATTGCTGGAACTGGGCAACTGAGAAACAAGCGGCCTTAAACAGCTCTTGCACTATTCCACACTTTGAGAGCAAGATCCCACGTCTGTATCTGGCAGACGCGCAGCACACTGACGCACAGGACAGGCACTGACGCTGAAGTGCCGAGAGCTGGTGAAAGCAGGAGAGAGCAACAGTGGGCCAGTCAGTCACTTGCCGTCCAGTGGGATATTTCAAGGGTAAGGAATTGGTCATGAATATAACTGAAAGCTTAAGGAATAAAGTGCTCAAGGAAGGTTTTGCACTGAAACTTAAACTGCCGCTATGTACTCAAGATATTAGGGCTCTAGAGAACCTCCTAAAGGTCTACTATGAAGCCTTCTCTCTTTTACCTACAAGGAAATTACAGCTGATATAAATTAATACATCATAGCATTTAAAAAAGAAATTATTATTTTATTATTATTATTATTATTATTATTAGTTTGCTGTAGTGCATGTGTACTCATGAGAGAGAGAGAGAGATGGAAAGGAAGAAATCATCCCCCTCTCCAGGTTGAAAGGGGGAAGCCACACCACAATCCCTTCTCCTTCATTCTCCTCTTAGGAGGAGGAGGACACGCACACACACACACACCCCTACCTGGCTTTTCCTACCCCACCCACCCCCCAAGCTCCCAGTTCAGGACTCAAACTGCAATCAGACATGTGGGATCTAGCTGCCTTAACCTTCATACCACTTACTGGTCCATTATTTATTATACTTTCTAGTTGAATAATTTGTTACTTCATTTTTCTAAATTACACCTTTTTGTTGATATTCTCTATTTTGTCCATGAGTTCCTTTAGCTTTATGAGCATATTTAAGACTATTAAGCACTGTCTCTGCTTCCTCAGGCAAATGGGTCATATTTTTTATCTGTGCATCCTTCATAAACTTTTGCTGAAAACCAAACATGTTAAATATCACATATGATGACTTTGGACAGCACATTTTTTACCCACCTCAGGATTTTATTTTTAATGCTATGGGCTGTTTGGTGATTTCTAAACTATTTTCATGAAGCCTATATTCTTGTCACATATGAGCTCTTAAGTCCCTGTTTCTTCAGCAAGTGTTCAGTTCATTCAGTGGCAGGAGCTGATAGGGATTTACTTGAGTGGCAGGAGTTGATAGAAGGGAAAGGAAAATTTCTCCCAGCCTTTGCAAATTAATGTTGTGTTGGGCTGGTCCTTTAACACATGGTCAGGCTATTTACAACTCTGTTTTAGTTATCACTTCCAGCTTGAGATATACATAGAAAACAGTCAGGGATAAAAGTTTAGGGTGTTCTCTGGACATTTCTGAGCACACATCCAGCCCTGGGCATGCACATGACTTTTTTTTTTTTCTCTGTGTACACTGGCATTTTTAAATGCTCTAATTTCTCAAAGATATTCTATTTGGGAGATACTCTCTCCCTAAGATACTCTCTGTTCCTCCCAGGTTTTTGGTGTTCTATTTTATGTCTTAAGAGTAATATATTCCCTAGGTCACTGTGATTTCTTTGATTGTCTTCAACATTTTCTACTAATGTCCACCATTTCCCCCTGCCTGAATTCTGAGGTAGGCGAAACAAAAGCAAACACCTTACATCAGTCCTTCAGGTAAGCACCAGACAATATAGAACAAAGTAAGTCTTTGATTATAAGATCTATGCAGCTCCCTCCAGAACCAGGAACCACAGTCCCACCCACACGGTAAATATAGGCTGCCATCTTCAAGGCTTCCACAAAGCTGAAGAGAGAAGGACAAGTAAAAATGTCCTTACCTGTCATTTTTACGCTGCCTATTTCTTGGCTTGATCTTCACCTGACTGCTGTAAAAAACACTGTTTTCCAGAGTTCTGTCAAAGTTGATTCTAAGAGTTGATTCTAATTTGCTTGGATTCTATGAAAGAAACAGTCCTTGGAGGTACCTACTCCTCTATCTTTGCTGATGTCACTCATCATCTTCAATTTTTTGATACAGAATCTTGAGTTTCTCCTTCCTCTTGACACCCACAAACTTATATTGCTGGGCATGGAGATAGCATGATGTCTTAACCTGGCTTATTTCTTTACTCACAGGTAATTTGAAGGTCATGGTATTCTGTCTCTTAGTACTTCTTAAGGTACAGGTTATTATGTGTGGTTTTGTTTGTACTTCTCTTTGGTTTTATGCTTTTTAGGAAGGTAAATGTGGATATTTGAAGTCCAGTATGAAAGAGTAGCATGCTATTGTTATCCAACCCTAGTCAAAAGGAAAGAGAAAGCCACCAGGTCTAGGACCCGAACCATGGTAGCCATGTAAGAGTCTAGTGCCTTAACCACCATACCATCTACTGGCCTGTCATAGCATTTTTAAATAAAAATAAATATGAATAATCTAAAAGGAGGTCAAGATCCTCAATGCAAAGGTCTGGTGACTCTGGGTCAAAGAATTTACGAGGTACTATTTACTATTCAGAGAAGCCAAGCAAGTGATTCTTAAAATGTTGGAAGGGCAAATCAAAGACCAATTGAGAATCTTAGCAAAGATGAGCCCTTGGTGGGCTAGTCAGATGGCATAGTGATTAAGGCGCTTGGATCCCATATGGCCACCTGTGGTTAGAGGCCCAGACCTGGCAGTTTGAAAAATGCCCCAGGTACGTATGTGTACATGCCCAATATCCTAAGAGGAGAAGGACTGTGGGGTGGTCATTCCCCACTGGGGAACGCTTTCTCACTTTCTATCTCCTCTTCGGGGAGCACATATGCCCTACAGCAAATGAAACATAAACATTAAAATGTTAGATTTTTCTGTTATGTATATTTTACCACATGTGCAAGAGATCAGAATAAACAGTTTCACAATTAATCCCAAACAAAACCCCGCATGTATACTGTAAAAATGTGTACATTTTATTACATTAAAAAAATGCATGACTATTCAGTCATGCTGTGGGTATTAACTGATTATAAAGTTTTCCCTCCATGAAACCAATGAGAATTAACAAAAATGTCATCTATCTTCTGGATGTCAGAAAAAAAAAAAAACCCATGTGAGAGACTGGGCTTTGTTTAAAAAGCAATAACTGATTTACAAGCATCACCTTGAAATGCCTCAAGCAGAGGCTGGAATGTGTCTGGGGGTTGTTGGAATTCAAGAATTCACAAATCTCCTGCCAGAAGAGAATGGCAGGCTGGGTAGGCAGATCTAGCAAGAGTCCTGTCCCATCTGCTAACTTACTAAGTGCTATAAATTCCAGTGAACACTATCCATGGTCTTTAGGTTTTATTTCAGGAGTACTTTAGAATCTACTGGGGATTAAGTTTCTGATTTTGTTTCTACTCAGCCTACTGCTAACAACAAGGCCCTGCTGCAGCCCAAAGCCAGCTTTTGGGGAAGCTGCAAACACTCTTAACGTTAAGTGACACTAGCATTAATGTTCATAAGTGAAAGGAGAGAAGTGCTCCCCCACATGTTGAAGATTAACGAGGCAGTCAAATAGCTCTGATACGTGTTAAGAATAGACCCAAGTGTACCATAATGCTGTCATTTAGCGCTCTTCAAAGTCAGCTAGGACAGGGAAGCAACAACTATTTTGAGGGTAGTTTTGAAAAGGGTCTCGGAACAGTATCACCTTCCACCTTTCACTTCCCTGAGTGAAAATGATCGGAGAGGTAATGAGGACACAAAACCTCCATGAGAGCGAAGACCACGTTTAGATTTTGCACCACTGATCCCCACTACCTAGACCACACCCCGTACTGCAGCAGGCATACAATTATTTATTGATGAGTAAGTAAGTCTTTGAGAGTTCCTACCCTTTCCCCATCCCCGTGTAGGTACTCTCCCCTCATCTCTGGCTTGCGGACTCTTTCTGAGAGGCACTTTCATCTCTTCATTTAACTCTGAAATAAGTTGGAGGGTGGTGAGGACACGTGCTTGCTAATCATCCTTCTCCAGACTGCCTCCTGTGCCAGAATGAATTTTTATTATTGGTCTGTGACTGCTACTGCTGGAGAAAGACTTGGCCTGACCTTCCCAAGCTGCCGGATGAATACTGCACGTGGCAGTCAGTGAAATGTGCCTTGCTTTTTTTTTTTTTTTTGTAAAGAAAAAAGCTTTTAAACTAACAGAGCTCACTGTGGCAGGAAAGTCATCCATCTCTCACTGTTAAAAACTGAAGATGCTGGATTCTTTTGCATAAGAATGATTTAGTAAAAGTGACCTGAACTGGTCCAACAGGAAAAAGGCAGCATCACAAAGCACCTCACAGAGAACACAACCACCAAAGAACAGCTCTCAGACTGCTCTGCAGGCAAGAGGGAGAAAGGAGAATGAAAGTCATTTACAAATGCGGATGTAAGTGTGAGGGCAGACTCTCACAGCTGGCCTCACCAAAGACAACGGCTATGTCAAAGGGAGTAACTGACAGACTGAGTCCCATCCATGCAGCTGAGGAGCCTGCTAGGTGGTGCTTCTGGGCGAACGGGGGAGCTGTCAGGGACAGAGGAACAATGGTCATACCTTAAGTTGACTGGCTGGTCCTGCCACCAAGAAGCTCAAAGAAGAGTTACGGAACATGTGGTCTAAGGACCCTGGCCCTCTAACTTGGGAGTAGGGTGGGAAGAAAAGGGAATCGTGTGAATAGGATGTCTTATTTTGTGCTTTTAAAAACAGGACTCAAGAGTCTCATTCTGAAACATCAAGTTCAATCCCATGCCACGCTAAAGCCCCATCTGTACTTTTATATAATGCAGAGCTGAGTGCAGGCACTTTGGGACAAGGGGAAATCAGGCCAGATTCAAGGAAAACAAACACACGAAGCTGTCTGCATCTCCAAGTCAGACCACACCATGGAAAAACCTGCTCAGAAATAACTGCTCAAGGCAAAGGGAATTCAAAAACTAAGGAAAATCTGTCCCAATAAAGGTTCGATATTTTAACGAGTCAAATAGCTTCAAATTAAGCTGAACTCAGGGTTTTCTAATTGGCAGTTTCATCCATTTCTAAGTTCTTATTTCTTATTCTTGAAAATCAAAATGACTCTGTGACTGAAATTTAAAAAACAAATGCGTTATTACCCACTCGAATTCACCAAATTTTCACCTACATATCTTTTATATAATTAAATAAGCCCTTCAGGTGGCACAAGTGCAGAAGGCGTCACTACTTGAAGCACTACCAATCAATCTACCAGTTCCTCTCAGCAGCCTGGCTATGCTGTCCTCTACCTCAGGCACAAAATCCCCCTGCCATCAGAGGGCAGGCGACTGCTTGATTCTAGCCACCAACAAGGTCACTCTGGGAAGAGCGATGACTTACCTGCTCCTCTGACAGTTGGGATATGTGATTCACAGCAGCATAGGACTCAATTTTGGGGTTGAAGTGGTTGATGATGGCTCTGAAACAAAGAATTAACATTAATACAGTGCCAAATGGAAGGAAACGTTAAATCTGTTTAAAATAAGGACGGATACCCTCTGTTTTAAAGCATTAGCGCATAGGAGTGGCTGTCAGAAGGTAACCGTTCTCCTATTGAACATGAGGAGGGCACCAATGGGAGTGAATTGATAACTGATTTTGGAAGGGCTTAATTTATTAGGAAGAGAACAGAATCAAGTATCTCTGCTCTGCAAGTAAAAAAAAAAAAACCAACACAACCAACCAACTGAAAAACCCCAAGACTTCAGATAAGAAACAGGATCCATAGGGCTGAGCACTAGGGGGCCCTGCGGCTTCAGAAAGGAAAGTACAGTAGGTCCAGGCACAGTGGGGCAGCCTTAACCCACGCCCTGCAATTGGGGTTTGGTTCCCAGGTCAGCTGGTGTGAGCTAGGCGGGCGCACATGCTCGTCGTCATTCGGGGGAGGATCACGACATCAGACCCTGTACAGGTCGGCTGTCTCTTTCTCCCTCTATCTCTCATGAAATGAATAAATAAACATTTAAAGAAAAAGAAAAAAAAAAGTAGTACTCTTCTGTTTTGACTTGGGAGAACAAGGCATTAAATAAAGCTAGGCCAACACAGTCTAAATATAGCCTCTGAGTAAACCAAGCTTAGAAGCTCTTCAAAGCTTAGAAGCAATCTTTACATTTGTTAGTAAATAGTTGGGAAGCAAACTTTTATTTCCGACTATTCAAACCAAAACCCAAGTGTCATTTCCAAACCCTCCTTTTCTCTCACTCACTGACATCCAGTGGTACAGGTCTCTTCCAATCTACCTCAGAGGTCAGCTGCGGTGCTGCAGCTGAAGTCACATGGCAAAGTCCTGGCTTTGCATTACAATATGTCCCTGTCTACACAGGACACACGAACCTGGTTGGGCCTGGAGGGTAGATCACTGCGTCTGAAGACCATGTTGGGGTGCTTCCCCCTGCCACTCTCTTGTACAAAAGAAATAAACTTAAAAATCTCTGAAATCTGAAATGATTTTTCCTGAAACGAATGTCTTTGTATAGGTCCTTAACATTACTTGCCTGGTGTAGCCACAGAGAGCACAGGTTTTAGATCAAGGTTTGACATGAGTCCATACTGATAGACGTAAAAGAGAAGACGAGACAAATCTTTCTTAGAGAACAATTTCAAATAATACGTATAGACACCGCCCCTATAGGAGACACAGTTTAATTCCCACTGTCACTGAAGATAGGCTAGATTTAGTGATTTATTTCCAATGATCAGAGTAGCAAATGGGAAAAATAGCAACTTCACAGTAGAGAAACTTGGCAAAAACTACCTCAATCAAGTGATGAAAGTTACCGTTACCAGTGATGTCATACGGCCATCAAGCAACACCGGGCATGACCTGATAAAAAAGGCATTTCACTCTGCATTATTCTTTTTTTTTTTTTTTGGAGAGGTTTTTGCTATAGGGGGCGCGTGCGCTCGCCAGACAGAGACAGAGGCAGAAAGCGAGAAATCACCCCCCAGAGGGGATGGCCACGCCGCAATCCCTTCTCCTCCATTCTCCTCTTGGGATCTTGGGCACGCACGCACGCACACATGCCCGGTGTGAGTTTTAAGTCACTGGGTCCAGGACGCGAACCGCGGTCGACTACGTGGGAGTCCAGTGACATAGACTCTGCATTATTCTTGCAAAAATACACAATCTCAGCCTAATCATAAGAAAAACACCAGACAAACCAGACTGGGGACATTTTACAGGAGACCTGGCTGTTCTTAAGACTGATGTAAAGATCATGAAAAATAAGACCTGAGAAATTGTCACAGAGCAGAGGACATACTGACAACTAAATGCAGTATGGTACCCTGAATTGGCTCTTGGAACGAAAAAGATATTAATGGAACTATAAATAAAATATGGAGTTTTGTTAATAGTAATGTATCAATGCCAGTTTCCTAGTGTTGACAAATGTACCATGGTAACACAAGATAGGATAAACTGGGCTGAAAGTATACAAAATGTGTATATTTTCTTTGCACCTTTTCTTTTCTTTTTTTTTAGAGGTTTTTGCTATAGGGCGTGTGCGCTTGCCAGAAAGACAGAGACAAAGAGAGAGAAAGAAAGGGAGAAATCGCCCCTTGGGGGGATGGCCATGCCACAATCCCTTCTCCTCCATTCTCCTCTCAGGATCTTGGGCACACACGCACACGCGCCCGGCGTGAGTTTAAGCCACTGGGTCCAGGACTCAAACCGTGGTCAACTACATGGGAGTCTAGCGACATACCCATTATGCTAACCATGGGTTCCCTTTGCACTTTTTCTGTAAACCTAAAATTATTCCAAAATAAAAAATGTATTAAAATGTGTGTACGTGTGAGAGCATAATAGAAATCAGTATTTTTATTTTTTAATTTGCCAGAGGGTGTCGGCACTTGCCAGAAACCTATAGAGAACCAGAGAGAGAGGGAGAGAGAAAGCACCCCACCAGTGGGGCATGGCCATGCTGCAAACTCTTCTATTTCTCCATCTTGTTGGCATTTGGGGCACACATGCACATGTGCCCAGCATGTCTTTCAAGCCACTGAGTTCAGGATTTGAACCACATGGTCAGTATGTAGGACCTGCCCCTTAACCAGGGAGCTACAGGGCCAGCCAGTATTTTCTTTTTAAAGACAGCTTACTGATAGTTAAAAATATATATATTATAGGACCGTTTATTCTACATTAGATAATAAAAGTTTGAAGTATACACACACACACACATACACACAAATACATACATATATTGACAACTTGTTTTTCTGACTGATTTTTAGCAAACTACATATCTCGATGGCAGGAAAAGTGGGAGTCGCAGTAACTACCTCAGCCCTTAGGACAGCACCTGGAAATAATACTGTAGGTGTACGATTAATGTTTGTTCAAAGAGTGACTAAATCTTAGAAAGTTCTTCTAACATTTACACAACTCATATAATGTAAATGTATAACATTTATATAATAGAAACCTGAAAAATGGGGGGCCGGCAGATGGTGTGGTGGTTAGGGGTGCTGGCTTCCCACATGGCCCACCGCAGTTCAAGTTCTGGACCTGGTAGCTTGCTTCCTCACTTTCCCTCTCTCTCACTCTGTCCCTCTCTGGTCAAATTAAAATAAATGAATACAGTTAAGTTAAATAAAATAATTCTTTAAAAAAAATAAATAGAAACCTGAAAAGCAATGTCACACATCTAGCACAATGCCTGGCACATAATTAACGCTCAATAAATATTTGATGAATTAATAAATCAAATAGACTAGAAATGGGTCAGGAGGAAAAGGAGAATTCTGAAACCTTTTTCCAGAGACTACCAGGAGGGGTAGAGAAAATATCTATACATTAAAAAGGCTGTGGCTTAGTCAAATCCAAAGTGAGAGTTTTATACCAAGTGGAGGTCAAATAGTTTTGAGGATATTGGCAAGGATAGACAGCCCAGGGACCAGCAGATGGCGTAATGGTTATGTTGCTGAACTCCTATGTAGTCAACTGCAGTCTGAGTCCCGAACCTGGCAGCTTAAACCCACACTGGGCACATGTGTGTGCATGCCCAAAAATCTTTTTTTTTTTTTTTGAGAAGTTTTTGTTATACGGAGTGTGCGCTCGCCAGAAAGACAGAGAGACAGAAAGCGAGAAATCACCCCCAAGGGGGATGGCCATGCCACAATCCCTTCTCCTCCATTCTCCTCTTGGGATCTTGGGCACGCACACACATGCGCCTGGAG